CTCTTGGAGAGCCTTTCGGAGCCTTCTTGGGCCGTCTTCAGAGATCCTCTTGAGCCGTCTTGGACCATCTGAAGCCGTTTTGGTGTCGTCTTGGTTATCTGAGCAGCCGTCCTGGAGGCCAGACTGGCCGCTTGGAGGCCGAAAGACCGCTGGAGATCAATTTCAGAGGGGGCGATTTTCGAGTGCTCCGTGCTACGACGGGGGGGGTCGGCCCTAGAAAACGAAAGAATCTTCCCAGACAACAGCAAGCATCTAACACACCCACTGGGCACAAGGCCCAGTGTCGAATGTCGCGCAATCTATGTTACGCGGTGCAATCTATGCTGTCCAACTTACGTACCCGCAATCTAGTATGCAACACCCATGCGGCAGCGATTGCGATGGCTGGTCGACGTTGGCTGGCGCATCGCTACGGCCGCGCGCTGGCGCGCGCGGGCTCGCGCGCAGAGCAGCCAGCTAGTCTGGCGCGACCGACGCAACAGCGGTGGCGCTGACCGCTGGGGACTTCCCAGCGCGTCGCGCAGGCCGCTCTGACGCGTGGGCACTTCAATGCGAGTCGGTGGGTCGGACGGGCGCGATATCATGGCGACGTCGACAACCGATGGCACGATGATAATACAGCAGCAATGCTGGTGACGATGGTGACATGACGACGGCTGGCCAATGCTGGCGCCGATGCTGGTGACGACGTTGATGAAGATCCTGTTATCCTCGTGTCGGTGATGAAGTTTTTTGGGGATGAGTTTGAAATGCGCGCGCGGCCGACTCGCGCGAGTGGCCCGACACGGATCGTCCTCCCCCACCCCAGCACGCGCGCAAAGGCGTTCGAATAATTCTGGCATGCGCGCGCGAGAGGCCCGTTTGGTCAAATTTGTTGAACATGTGTGGAACATAGTTCGCTTTTTCATTAAACGAATTCTCCAAACTAAAAAGCAAGACGCAGCAAGAGCGCGCGTGCATAGGTGTTTGAAAACCACGTTGCAGAACCATGTGTGTTATATGTGCTCGGGACATTTTATTCCAACTTCCATACGGAATATCTGGCTTTTTTATGCTTCAGGCATGCGCGCGCGACGACGCGCGCGACTGCACTTCGTCCAGTCCCGATGATTCCGGGGTAGAGAGTGGTACATCCTGATTTTTCAGACGAAGAAAGTAGAAACGATGTGGTGCAACCCATGTGGCGCAAACTACGTGGTGCAACTCTGGAAGGCCGCGGCGAGGCGTCGACGGGGCGGCGATGACGAAAATATAGCCGCCAGGCCGACAGCCAGACCCGGACGACGGGCGGCGACGAGGCGGCGACGGGGCGGCGACGGCGACAACATAGCCGCCAGACCGACAAGCAGGCCCAGATGGCGGGCGGCGACGAGGCGGCGACGGGGGGGCGACGGCGACAACATAGCCATCAGAGCGACAATCAGGCCCACTTAGAAAAGAGGTAATAGTCCCTAATCGCAAGCAGTGTTTGGGGAACGTGCGCTAAGGTGCACATGGCCGTGCTCTCGCCTTGTTGCCGGCTGCATGTTCGGTCCGGACGGCCCCGATCCGTTGCAAAATAACGCGTTCAGGTGCACACGGTCGTGCTCTCACCCCTGTCCCGGCTGTCCTCCCACCCTCCCTCCCCCTCACCTTTGCTGCTGTGAGGGGGCCCTGCTAGGGCAGTGCGGCGCTTTGCGCTTCTGATTGCGGGCGGAGAACAACATCTCCGTTTCCGCAGCCTCGCAGACCAGGCCCTTGGGCCGCGACCCAGCGGATACGGGGCACTTTTTCGCGGATGCCCCGCGCGGAACGTATCTGTGCGACCGCGCATCCGCGGGATCGCGCCCCGGAGTCCAGACCGCGAGGACGCGGATACGGATATTTGTTTGGTATAGCCTAAACATAGTAATACGATGTTTGCGTCTGCACCCAAGAGGCCACGCGCGCGCTGAGAATTCTCATAGTATATGCTCGGTGGCGGGCGCTCTCTGTCCACACCGCGCGGGAGCGACACATTACAGTATGCCTGCACTCTCTATTCGGGCCAGACGTGCGTCTCCAACAGAAGCCTTTGAGGATCGACGGAGTTGTCATCTCTCCCGCCGCCGGAAGGTCGGCGGAGGTAAAACGAGGCCGCCTCCGCCGGCGGTAGCCGGCGGAAAGCGGCGGAAGCTCCGCGGAAGGCGGCGGAAGTAAACGATGTGTCCCCAAAAGATCAAAGCGTTCTTTGAGTTTAGGGTTTCAGAGATCGCCCACATAGTACCAGCACTAGTGTTCGCCGATCGCGATCTAAGGTTCAGTCGGGCCTGTCCCTCCTCGACAGAAGGAATATTCAAAAATAGTCTAAAAATACCATGGGGACGATTATTCTACTATTTTTGGATATTTGGGAATATTTATCCCAACCATCCTGTGGTTTTGGATCGTCCTTTTGAAGAGACAGCGCCTCGCGTTCCTCATCTCCTCCTCTTCCCCCTCCCCTTCCTCCTCTCCCTCCTCCCATCCGCCTCGTCACCTCCCTGCGTTTCACCCACCCAGGACAGCGCTTCGTGTCCCCATAGGGAGCTCCACCGAAGGCTCCAGTGGCAGGCCCCACATGCGTCACCGCCAGTGGCCCCATAGGGAGCTCCACCGAAGGCTCCAGTGACAGGGTCCGCATGCGTCACCGCCACGCAGGACAGCGCTTCGTGGCCCCATAGGCAGCTCTACCGGAGGCTCCAGTGGCAGGGTCCGCATGCGTCTCCGCCACCCAGGACAGCGGGGCCCCATGGGAGCTCCACCGAAGGCTCCAGTGGCAGGGTCTGCATGCGTCACCGCCACCCAGGACAGCGCTTGCTGGCCCCATAGGGCATAGGGAGCTCCACCGAAGGATCCAATGACAGGCTCCGCATGCGTCACCGCCACCCAAGACAGCGCTTCGTGGCCCCATAGGGCATAGAGAGCTCCACCGAAGGCTCCAGTGGCAGGCTCCGCATGCGTCACCGCCTCGCAGGACAGCGCTTCGTGGCCCCATAGGGCGAATCCACCGAAGGCTCCAGTGGCAGGCCCCACATGCGTCACCGCCACCCAGGACAGCGCTTCGTGGCCACACAGGGAGCTCCACCGAAGGCTCCAGTGATTCGTGGCCCGATAGGCAGCTCCATCGAAGGTTCCAGTGGCAGGGTCCGCCTGCGTCACCGCCACCGAGGACAGCGCTTCATGGCCCAGTAGGAAGCTCCACCGAAGGCTCCAGTGGCAGGGTCCGCCTGCGTCACCGCCACCCAGCGCTTCGTGTCCCCATAGGGAGCTCCACCGAAGGCTCCAGTGGCAGGGTCCGCATGCGTCACCGCCACGCAGGACAGCGCTTCGTGGCCCCATAGGCAGCTCCACCGAAGGCTCCAGTGGCAGGGTCCGCCTGCGTCACCGCCACCCAGGACAGCGTTTCGTCGCCCCATAGGGAGCTCCACCGAAGGCTCCAGTGGCAGGATCTGCATGCGTCACCGCCACGCAGGACAGCGCTTCGTGGCCCAATAAGGAGCTCCACCGGAGGCTCCAGTGGCAGGGTCCGCATGCGTCACCGCCACCCAAAACAGCGTTTCGTGGTCCCATAGGGCGCTCCACCGAATGCTCCAGTGGAAGTGTCAGCATGCGTCGCCGCCACCCAGGACAGCGCTTCGTGGCCCCATAGGGAGCTCCACCGACGGCTCCAGTGGCAGGGTCCGCCTGCGTCACCGCCACCCAAGACAGCGCTTCGTGGTCCCATAGGGAGCTCCACCGAAGGCTCCAGTGACTGCGTCACCGCCACGCAGGACAGCGCTTCGTGGCCCCATAGGGAGCTCCACCTGAGGCTCCAGTGGCAGGGTCCGCCTGCGTCACCGCCACCCAAAACAGCGTTTCGTGGTCCCAGAGGGAGCTCCACCGAAAGCTCCAGTGGCAGGGTCAGTGCGCGTCACCGCCACCCAAAACAGCGCTTTGTGGCCCCATAGGGAGCTCCACCGAAGGCTCCAGTGGCAGGGTCCGCCTGCGTCACCGCCACCCAAAACAGCGCTTCGTGGCCCCATAGGGAGCCCCACCTGAGGCTCCAGTGGCAGGGTCCGCCTGCGTCACCGCCACCCAAAACAGCGCTTCGTGTCCCCATAGGGAGCTCCACCGAAGGCTCCAGTGGCAGGGTCCGCCTGCGTCACAGCCACCCAAGACAGCGCTTCGTGGTCCCATAGGGAGCTCCACCGAAGGCTCCAGTGGCTGCGTCACCGCCACGCAGGACAGCGCTTCGTGGCCCCATAGGGAGCTCCACCTGAGGCTCCAGTGGCCAGGTTCCGCCTGCGTCACCGCCACCCAAAACAGCGCTTCGTGGTCCCATAGGGAGCTCCACCGAAAGCTCCAGTGGCAGGGTCAGCATGCGTCACCGCCACCCAAAACAAAGCTCTGTGGCCCCATAGGGAGCTCCACCGAAGGCTCCAGTGGCAGGGTCAGTTTGCGTCACCGCCACCCACGACAGCGTTTCGTGGCCCCATAGGGAGCTCCACCGAGTGCTCCAGTGGCAGGTTCCGCATGCGTCACCGCCTCCCAGGACAGCGTTTCGTGGCCCCATAGGGAGCTCCACCGAAGGCTCCAGTGCTTCGTGGCCCAATAGGGAGCTCCACCGAAGGCTCCAGTTGCAGGGTCCGCATGCGTCACCGCCACCGATTTCGGCGCACCCCTCGCAAGTTTCGTGGCCCTCCAGGGAGCTCCACCGCAAGCGGCACCCACAATGCGGCACTCGCATCTGCATATGGTGGGGTTCTTCTTCAGGCTCGTTTTCATTATGTTTACTCTGCAAAATCTACATGTAGGGGGACATGCCCGACCTCAGAGGAAGGTCCACGAAAAGGGGCTTGAAGAGCAGGGCGCAGGGAAAGGGGACGACGGAGACGCGGGGAAAGAGGACAACGGAAGGGTCGACTGCGCGCACGCCGACAGGGGGTCCACACGCCAACAGCTTCGGCGGCTTTCCTGCAACATCCGCCTGTATAGGGGGACATGCCCGACCTCAATCTCAGGTCGAGCGGCTGCGGCTCGAGGCGCAGCTGCTCCGGCGCGAGCTGCTCGCCGCTCGCGGGGAGCTCGGCGAGCCGCCCGGGCCTGGTCTCGCCGTGGCCGGCCGGGGCAGCGAGGCGCGGGCCGCCGCGGCGGAGGGCCGCGAGGAGGCGGAGGACGCCCTGCCAGAGGCGCGCGGGCCCTCGTCGTCGTCGTCGTCGTCAGCGTCGGCGTCGTCGGCGTCGTCGGCGTCGGCTTCGGCGTCGGCGTCGTCGGCGTCGGCGTCGGCGTCGGCGGCGTCGGCGTCGGCGTCGGCGTTGGCGTCGGCGGCGTCGGCGTCGGCGTCGGCGTCGTCGTGACCGCCGGGAGGCCTCGCAGGCCCCCGCTCCGGGGTAGCGGGGAGCCTGGGCCCAGGACGGGCCCCTTGTCGGCCACGCGCAGAGGGGGGGAGGGGGAGGGGGGAAGGGCTTCCAGCCCTGCTTCTTAGAAGGCGCGGGCCCTACCCCTCCCCCCACCCCCCTTTTGTGCGCGCCGTCGACCTGCTTAGAGTGAAGAACGTTTGGAGCTAATAGAATGGACGTCATTCGAAGCGTTTTCTCGGGCAGTAGTCCAGGCCAGATCTACGAAGCGCCCAGGCCCAGGATGGGCCCGGCCAGGGTCGCTGTAGGGATATCGACCCCCGCTTAGAGTCACAAGAAAGTTTTGAGCCAAGGAGATGGGCGTCCCTCGAAGCGTTCCCTTGAGCAGTCGCCCGGGCCCAGAGCCCAGACCTACAAAACGCCCAGAGAACTCCTCCTCCTTCTCCTCCTCCTCCTCCTCCTCCTCCTCCCTCCTCCGTCCTCTAAACGAGACTGGAGCCCATATTATAGTTGCTGCTTTTTCTCCGCGCTCCTGCTTGGCAGTTGGTGCCCTCCTGCAGGCTGCGGAGCTGCGGAGCAGCAGCTCACAGGAGCAATGTCGGTGCGGGCGTATTCTTTCGGAGTTCCGAGCGGAGCTTCTTGAATCTGCGCTGGGCCCTCCTTGGCGAGCGGCGAACAGATCCGCATCCGCGCCCTCGCGGCCTGGACTCCGGGGCGCGATCCCGCGGGTGCGCAGTCGCGCTGATGCGTTCCGTTCGGATGCAGCAATTGGGAGGTCACTCTCTGACTCTACCCTGGTCCGAAATCTGGCTCAATCCCGCCGGATCCAGCTTAATTCCGCTTGATCCGGCTTGATCTTGCTCGATCCGCGACCAAATCTGGCGCAGCAGCCCCAGGAGGACGTACACGTACATGGATCCACGATGGGTTCGAACGTACGCATTGCGTGAACGTTCGTATTCCGCGTCCGGTCTGGCGGATTGGGGGGCCGTGTTCATGTGCGTGGTTGGGCGCGTACGTCCACTGTGGGCTCACCATTTGGTCGTTCAGCCGCGGGGTCGCGGCCGCACGGGGCCCCTACCCGCGAGGCCGCGGAGACGGAGATGCAGTCTTGGCCCACGGCTCCCGGGCGGCGCCTCCGGTGCGCCGCCGTCTGCGCGCCAGGTAGGGTGGCAGGGTAGGCGGGCGAGGAGGAGGAGGAGGAAGAGGAGGAGGAGGAGGAGGAAGGAGGGAGGAGGAGGAGGAGAGAGGAGGGGGAGGAGGGAGGAAGAGGAGGAGGAGGAGGAGGAGGAGGAGGAGGAGGAGGAGGAGGAGGAGGAGGAGGAGGAGGAGGAGGTGCAGGAGGAGGAAAAGCAGGGGCGCCAGGCACGATGTGGGCCTGTTTTTGATAAAGCATGTTTTTACACGTGTTTGAGCACCTCGCCGAAAACGCCACCAAAGACAAACATCTAACACATCAAACACACCAAACAAACAACTAACAAAACAAATGCGATTCCGGTACCATTCCAGCGATGGGCCAAGGGACATCTGCCAGAAATCATCGGTTTGTTTTAGGAGGGGCGTGTGGTTGTTTTGTTTTTTTTGTTGCTTCGGGAGATTATTCTAAACTTCTAAGCTTCAGCCTCTGGCACTTCAGTTTCTTCGGTTGTTGTGTTGTTCATTGCGTTTTGACAGTTCTCCACCGCCAGTACTGGGAATGTGTATGTCGTCCGCCAACTTTCGGATGAGCAGGAGGAGGAGAAGGGAGGACGCGGAGGAGGAGAGGATGAGGAGCAGCAGGAGGAGGAGGAGGAGGAGGAGGAGGAGGAGGAGCAGAGAAGGAGGAGTAGGAGGAGAAGGAGAAGGAGAAGGGAGGAGGAGGGAGGAGGAGGGAGGAGGAGGAGGGAGGAGGAGGAGAGGAGGAGGAGGAGGAGTAGGAAGGAGGAGGGGAAAAGGTAAGGATTAACAGGGGGAAATGAAGGCAAAGGAGGAGGAAGGAGGAGGAGGAGGAGGAGGAGCCAAGAGGGAGCCAAGAGGGAGCCAGAAGGGATTCAAGAAGGCAGCCAAGAAAGCAGCCAACAACAGCTGCAGTCGGTGTATATTGGGATTGCCCCTTCATGTATGCTGATTGGTTCGATGTGCACGGGTGCACGTTTCCACTCCGCTCCTCGCGGGTGTCTGTTTGGCTGCCGGACGTCCGATCGAAGAGACCTCCTTCGGCATTTCTCTGAGTTTACCCGCCTCAAAGTCTTCTTTGACTCGTTGGATGGGAAGGACCATAAGAGTATACCGACGTGAGGTGGGCCCCCACTTGTTTCCTTCCTGCCTCCTCGTGCGTTTTGATAACATGTCTGCTATTTTGAAGCGTGCCGCCTGATGGATGCTTCTCTTTGTGGTTAAACGCACGCCGCCCCGGACACTGCACTGCTCCTGAGCTGGTGTTCGATGCTCGCCTGCGTGTCACCGCAAGGCGACATCCCAAGCTCGCCTCGGCTTGGTGTGAAGCAGGCTTTCTCTTGTCCCGCCACCTGGCGATGACTGCTGCCCCATCGACTGGAAGCGCTGCCGCTGCGGGCGCCTGGCACCCCACGCGGTAGGTGGGTGCTTTCTGCAGCAGGGTTGCAGTCGCTTTGCCAGGGGGGGGCCCGCACTGCTCGGTGGCGGAGCTGGCCGCCTTCCGAAAGCAACCCCAACAACCCAGCGAGGCCTGGATGGACAAAACAAACTGCAAAGGTCAGCCCGGAGTGAGCCACGAGGGAGCCAAGAGGGAGCCAAGATGGAGCCAGAAGGGAGCCAAAAAGGGCAGCCAAGAGGGTAGCCACAAAGGCAGCCAAGAGGGTAGCCACAAAGGCAGCCAAGAACGGCAGCCCAGATGGCAGCCAAGGAGGCAGCCAAGACGGCAGCCAAACAGGCAGCGAAGAAAGGCAGCCATAAGGGCAGCCAAAAAGGTAGCAAAGAGGTCAACCAAGAAAGCAGCCAAGAAAGCAGCCAAGAAGGCAGCCAAAAAGACGGCCAAGAAGGCAGACAAAACGGCAGCCAAAATGGCAGCCAACAAGGCAGCCAAGAAAGGCAGCCAACAGGAGCCAAGAAAGGCACCCATGAGGGCAGCCAGGAAGGCAGCCAAGAAGGCAACCACGAAGGCAGCCAAGAGAACAGCAACGAAGGCAGCCAAGAAAGCAGCCAATAAGACAGCCAAAACAGCAGCCAAACAGGTTGCCAAGAAGGCAGCTGGAGAGGTAGCCAGGATGTCAGGAGGGGACATCCAACAGTTGACGCCTTCCCCTGCCGTATGTGGAACAGCCCGCTAACGATCAAAGGTTGATACTGGCGCGTTCCGCCTCTTTCCCCCGTTCGAGTATGTTTCTTGCACCCGGGAGACGTGCGACGCATGTTCGTGTGTTCGGCAGGACACCATGCCATTGAATCGTTTCGGGCCTTCCCCCAAGTCCGCCCCGCTGCTGGTGCCACCCCCCTTCCCGCCATCCTCCACATTTCCCAACGGCAGGAGGGGGCGTCCAACGGTGAATGCCCACCCCTCCCCTGCCATAAGTAGAACAGCCCGGTAACGATCAAATGTTGTTGCTGGCACGTTCCGCCTCTTTCCCCCCCTTTGAGCACGTTTCTTCCGCGCGGAAAACGTGCGAAACTTGTTCGTGCATTCGGCAGGACACTGCGCCAGTTTTTCGGTTCGGGCCGTCGCCCAAGTCCGCGGGGCCATTGCAAGGGGCGCCACTGGGGTGCCTGGGGGCGCGAGGGGGCAGCGCAGGACAAAGCTGGCCAGAGCAGGGGGCGCGATGGGGGCAACAGAGAAGGCCATAGAGGCACGAGGGGACAACGGCGGGGCAACAACGGACAACTGGGAACCCATCAGGAAACCAGAAGGGGCGAGCGGGGCACGCACGAGGCAGCTGGCGAGGGCAACCAGCGACAGTGGTTTACCAGCTTGGCGCGTTCGTTGCGCACCCACCAGGGCTACAAGTGGGGACCCACGCAATGGATCCCCTCGCGCCCCCTCCTCCCGCAGCTTGTGCGCGTTCAGAACGCGTTGGCTCGTCTGCCAGTCCGCGTCATTGCTCGCGCCCCCACGCTCTCCTCGCCTGCCGCGTCGAGCGCCCGAGCCCGCGCATAGCGGGGTCGCCGGCGACGCGATGGGCGACGCCACGTGCCATTTCGAGGAGGCGACTCTCATGGCGGGCGGGCGGCAGCAAGCTCGAGCGCCACCCAGCAAAGCTTCGGAGAAAGACAGGCTGTCCATTAGGGCGACCCGACGGTGCTCGACCTTCCCCTAGCGCCGATCTCGCGCGGCAGCACCGCGAAGCTCGCTGCATTCGCGGACGTGATCATGAGTCACGAGGGCGCCTTCGAATTTTCGCAGGTGCGCGAGTTGCGCTGCCGGGGCCGCCCCAGCGATTCGCAGCCGCCCCTTGCTTTCAGGCGCGAGCCAGTCGCCCCCTGCGTCGTGCAGTTATTCGTCGCGCGCCATGCCCCCGAGGATGACAGTTGCGCGCGGTGCCGCATCTTGAACGCGATCAGCTCCGGGAAGAACAGGGGTGGGGCCGCGACCGCCCTGATCATGCTGGAGAAGCCGGGGGGGGGGGTCAAATCAGGCACCTTGCGCTGGCGCCGCGGAACGAGCGGAAGCAGCGGCCTTTGGAGCAGGGCGAGCGTAGCGAAGGATGACTATCATTCGCGATCGTCGCCCGCGTTCTCACGGCAGGAACCAGTTCGCGGAGCGGGCGGAGTCTTGGGCGAGCGCAGACGGGGTCAAATATTCACGGCTGGCCCGCTGCAAAGGTAGAGACGACGTTGAGGAATTACCAGCAGGGGAGGGCCAGCGCGGAGCCGATCGTGCGTTGGACGTTGACGATGAAAGATTTCGATGGGCGTTTTCAAACAACGCTCTCGAGAACGTGCTCGGCAGCCTGGACAAGCATGGGGCCCGTTGGCGCGGGGGCCCCAGGGTCGGCACTCGCGGCGGCTCCCGGACGATCGCGTTCGCGCGGCCTGTTTGCAGCATTCCGCGGAAAGGGTCCGACGACGACGCGGCGCTCTACGCGGCGGAACGCATGGCTCCTTCAGTGCGGAGCCGACAAAGCGGAGCCGTCGACGGACGTCTCGCCAGGGATATGCGACGACAGTCTCAAGGTTCACGTAGATGTCCCGAAGGCGCTTTTTGAGATCTCAACCCCGAGGGGGGGGGGGGGGGGGGGGGGGGGGCGCCCTGCTGCGGGCGCGGCGGGGCGGGCGCGCCCTCGAACAGGGGGCGTCTGCATTGCGCGGATCAGTCTGCGGTGCGGTGGAAGAGGGCCGCGCGTTCGGCTTCCGCGGCGGCGCGGGCGCCCTTGGGGGGGGCCCTCGCCGCCGCGCGCCGCGAGGCAGCTGCCTCGAGCCCCGCGCCGTCTCAGATCACGGGTTGCCGCGGCGATCTATCAAGGCGAAGACCGCGCCGAGAAGGCAGCGAATTCCCGCGGCCTCGCCAGGGTGCGCCGCGGGGCTCGCGAAGACCCGCCCCGTCGCCCCCTCCGCCAGGCGAGAGCGCTGGGCGACGTGCCTCGGCGGCCCGGTCTCGCCGATCGACGCCGAGGAGCTAGGTGCGATCATTCGGCCCCATCGCCAAGTCGGCGCGCGGCGAGGGGGCCGCCATCGACGACGACAGCGACATTGACTTGGAGGGTTTGCTCGAGGGCGTCGCGGAGGAGGGCGAGACAGCGGCGGGCGGCCTGGCCGAACGAGAGGATGCGCGGGCTGCAATGCCAGACCGAGCGCGCTCATCAGACGCGGCCGCGGACAGCGACCGCTTCGGATCAGGCTTCCAGGGCCCTTACTCGCGCCGCCGGCCGCCGCGGCGCGCCGGGGGAGGGCGGGGGGTTGAAGCTATGCGCGCGCGAGCGAATATTTAGCGCGCTGTCCGATCGCGAAGGGGGGGGCGGCGCGGCCGGGGAGCGCGCGCGCGCGCGCTCGCTATCCTGCGCGCGCGCGCAGCCGTCCGCGCGCCAGTCGTTCGCGCAATATTCCCCCTTCATTCTCTCCCTCGCGCTCCCGCCTGGACTGCTGCGTCATGGACGCATTGTGCGCGCTCGGCTTCGACTTGCTGCGCGCCAGGAATGGGCCCTTCGGCCGGAACGACGCCCGGGGCATGATCGCTGGCGCCCGGTGCATGATTATTCTCGTCATCGTTCGCGGCGCACGCGGCGTGCCGCCAGGCCGCTACATCGCCTCCTGCGGCTCGGCTCCTGGGGGGACAGGGCACGCCGTTGCGGCGTTGGTGTTCGTCGGTGGGTCGATCGTTTTTGATGGCGGCATCCGCGCCCGCCACGCGGGTCGCGTCTCTTGGCGTCGCGTGCCCCAGGGCGTGAGCGCCGAGGAGTGCCATCGGCGGCGCCAGGCGTTGAGCGCCTGAGTCGGCGGCACCCGCGCCGCATTTTCGCCGCGCCCCCCCATTAGCGGCGGCGCGCGCGACTGCTGCCGCGCCGCTCGCCGTCCGCCCCCCTCCGCGCGGGCGCGACCGCGCGGGCGCCGGCGAGTGCCCGCGCGAGCTAGAAGTCGCACGCGTCTGAAGTGGGGCCGCGCCCGCGAGAGGAGCGGGGCGCTGGCGTGAGAAAGTTGCGCATCCATATTCCATCGCGGCGCGTCGCGGCCTCGGTTGTCGCGGCAATTCAGGCGGCTTTCGCGCGCGGTATCTGCAGCTCCGCACATAGCCATGTGGGCCTAACTCAGCGCCCCCCCCCTGCGGATCACGCGCCTGGCCGCGCCCCTCATCTGAGCGCCATGCCGCGCGGCGGGAGGGCATCCCAGGCGGGCGAGCGCATGGGGGGCGCCGCGCGCAGACAGCGATCGCAAATATGAAGCCAGCGCAAGCCACGCTACCGACCATGCAGATGGCCGGCACGCGCTTGCGCACGCGGGCGTCGATGACGAAGGGGGGGCGCGCGGGCGAGATGTCCACGGCGGGAACGGGGCGGGCGAAGACGGCCGCGGAAGGCCTGGGCCCGTCTTGCACCCCGGCACTGCAGCAGCAGCCCCCGCGCAAACGAGCCGCCGAATTGCGCGCGCATGAAATGATTTCCCCGATAGCCCTGGCGCGCGCGGGCCCCGAGCCCGTCGTGCGCATCGTGGTCGAGGTCGGCGATCTACCCGATCTTGGGGGCGAGTGCTCTGCGCGCCAGCGCGGCGCCTTGGAACTCTGCAATTGCGACAGAACCAGTCGGGGAAGGACGCCCAGTGGCAGGTTTCACCATTCCGATCTTGGGCCACCCTGTCTGGCGCTCGTCCAATTGGGCGCGCCAAGAGCGAGAGGCGAATCTGGGCCCGGAAAGCCCCATCGAGGAGCTGTTCAAGAAAAGGCGCCCAGGGCTGGGCCAGAACGATGCGTTCGCGCTGGGGCGCATCAGTCCGTCGCCCCAAAGAGTCGCGTTGCTGGCAGCCAGACGTGGCAGGGCCCTCCCGGTTCTAATGCAGAACGCTTCACCGCCTAGCATTTGAGGTGGTCTCGCCGCGTCGTTTCCCGCGACGCCGAGCAATGGGCCGTCGTCGACCGCGTCCGCGTCGCGCATCCGAACGGATGCACCGAGGCCGTCGCCCTGAAGAAGGGGGCTCAGAGCGTGAATTACCTACCCCGCTTTCGCTTCCAGGCAAAACAAAGCCATACCACGCGCCTCCTCGTCTAGCGGCCTGACCAGTACAGGCTGCAATTTGGCATCGTTTGGTATCTCTTGGAAGCGAGGGTGGTCAAAAGCGAGGGAGGTTTGTTTTCCCCCTAGGGGCGCAGGTCGTCCACGGCAGATGGCCAGAGATCCGCGGTTCCATCCCTAATAGCGTGCGCACATCCGACTGGGAGCGGCGCCGCTCTCACCCGCGGGCCCGGGCGTGGCGCGCGGGGAGATCAGGCGGTGACCGGCCCCGGGAATTCGGGGGGGGGGGGCTACTCCACCTCCTCCTCCTCCTCCTCCTCCTCCTCCCCCTCCTCCTCCTCCTCCTCCTCCTCCTTTCCCTCCTCCTCCTCCCCCCCTTCCCCTCCTCCTCCCCCCCCTCCTCTCCAAGGCGCCTGAAAGACCCAGCGGCGACGGCGCCTCCGCGCGGAACGCGATGGCATGCGGCGGTGACACCTCCTCAGCGCGCGCAGCCTGCCCGCGCGCAGGAGGGGCGGGCCGTGGCCGCCCGTGCACAGTTTGCGTGTCAGCGCGAGTTCTTAGGGAATTTCATCCAGATAGCTGCTCGCGCGCAAATGGCTTCGCCTTCCTTAGCCAAAACACGCCCAAACCGCCCAGCCTACGTCGCGCCTGGCGCGGGAGGAGGAGGGCGGCGAGGAGGAGGAGGAGGACCAGTGCAAACCAAAGAGTCAACGATGTTGGAATACCCCCCCAAGCTCCCCCTCAATAGTCCCCTAAAACGGTCCATTTCCACGAAGGGAACTGCTTCCTCGGACGACGACCGTCTGAAGACCCTAGAGCATGCCCAAAAATTCTTCTCTGGATTCCATCGCCACGGATCAATCTGTCTGCTGCGTCTTGACGATCTTGCATCGTGCCAGAACGCCATTCGTGGGACTTCAACTTCGCGAACCAACGCAATTCTTGTATTTTCATAACCCTGAATACTTCCAGCACGCAATTGCTGGTACGCTGTTCATGGGAATCCGTGGAACTTTTGCAACTTTCAAAAACGAATGCGCGCGGCGCTAAAGCGAGAACCACACTTGGAAAACGGCCCGCCCCAAACCCGTGACAAATTCTCTGTTTTTTTAATGAATGCACGCGGCGCTGAGGTGATAGCCACACTTTGAAAACGACCCGCCCTCAATCCGTAAAACTGTACCACATGCTTCAAACGAGTATGCGCGGCGCTGGGGCGAGAGCCGCATTTTGAAAGCCAACCGCTCCCAGTCCGCGAAATTCTAGCAATGTTTAAAATGAGTGTGCGCGGCCCTAATGCGAGAGCCACATGTTGAAGACGAGCCGCTTTCAATCCCCACATTTCCTTGAACAAATTAGAACGAATGCGCTCGGAGTTAAGGCGAGAGCTACATTTTGAAAACCACCCGCCTTCAATTCAGAAGACTCTCTGTTGATGTTTAAAACGAATGCGCGCGGCGACGAGGCGAGAATTACATTTTGAAAACGACCCGCCCTCCAGAAACTGCTACCAACTCCTTAGTTTCAGGTTCATACGTAGTGGGGACTTCTCAGGCGAAACGCCCGGCCCGCCCTAAAAACAAGCCTCGGGGAAGTTATTCATAAGAAACAGGAATGGAGGAGGAGGAGGAGGAGGAGGAGGAGGAGGAGGAGGAGGAGGAGGAGGAGGGGGAGGATGACGAGGAAGACGAGGAAAACGAGGAAGACGAGGAGGAGGAATGGGAGGGAGGAACAGGAGGAGGAGGAGAGGTGGAGGAGGAGGAGGAGGGGGAGGAGGAGGGAGGAGGAGGAGGAGGAGGAGGAGGAGGAGGAGGAAGACGAGCAGGAAAACGAGGAGGAGGAGGAGGAGGAGGAGGAGGAAGAGGAGAATAAACAGGAGGAGCAGGAGGAGGAGGGAGGCTGTGCCGAGCGCAGGTCCGAGAAATCCGCGTGGACCCTCACAGTTTATGTTTCTGCCGTTTTTGTTTGCTCCTCTGGAACAGCCCCCGCACCGCTTGCAGCCCTACCCACGCTCAGCGGTCGTCCACGAGCTCCCGTGGCCTAGGACGGAAGATGACGGGCGAGCGCGTTGGTCTTGACAGGGGCCGCCTGTGGGCGCTTGTGACCAAGCCGGAGTTCGAGGCGACGTTCGCGGTGATGATCCTCGCCAATGCCTTGCTCCTCGTCCTGGAGGCGCAGTACAAGAGCTTCAGCCTGGCCACAAGCACTGGGCACGGGAGCGCAATCGGCGAATCTGCGGATGTGTGGCCAGTGGCCGAGGATGTCTTCGGCGTGCTCTCCTGGGCGTTCGGCACGGTATTCCTGTTGGAGCTGGTCCTGAAAGTTGCAGCCTTGCGGTTCGATTTCGTTACCGATGCGTGGAACTGGATGGACTCGATCGTCGTTTTGGCGTGGTTTTTCAGTGAGGTGTTACAGGTGGGTGCCAACGTGCAGTTTTTGCGGGTCTTTCGTCTAGTACGATTGGCACGATTCGCGCGCGTTCTAAAGCTCATATCGCGAGGGCGCTCAGACGGCCTATTCATTATGGGAATTGCACTTGCCGATAGCATACCAACAACGGTATGGGTGTTCCTCAGTTTATTGGTGGTGCATTGCTTATTGGCCTTGGGTATGAACGAATTTTTATGTACGGTTTATTTTGACTCGAGAGGCTTAGGCTATTCCGTTGACCCCCAACGCGGACGTGTGTGACTTCCGATTTTGCCTGTGTTGTGTGCCTCTTCCGTCGTCTTGTTTGCGTGTACAGTGGGAACCCATGCCAAGAAACACCCTGCTCGCCTCCAGGGTGCCCCGGGTTTCTTGGGTTTCGATGGTTCTGCGATGGAAAGCTTGACGTTCCCACTCCAAAAATCAGTAAACGTCCTGGGGTCTAAGGGTTGGGTTTCATGTGAAAGGTTTCTTGTGGAAGGGCCCCTACTGTAGTTGTTGCTGGTCCGTCCTCTTCCTCCGCGTCTGTTACGGAGTTGTCTTGGGGCCCCTTCGAGGCCATGCGGGCGGCATTTGAGAGATGTTTTTGGGGCTCCCTTTTCTGGGGGGGGGGGACACTCTGGGGGCTTCTTGGGGCCTCTTCGACTCTCCGGGGCCTCTTGAGGCCGTGCTGGGGGTCTTGTGGCCGTCCTGTCATGGTGTTCTCCAGGGTTCCTGAGAGTTCCCCCATATTGGACCCATCTTGGGGACCTGTTGGTTTCTTGTCGTCTTCGTGACCTCTGAGGCCGTTTCCAGTCCCTCTTGGTGGCTTCTTTGGCCAGTCTGGGGCCCCTGTCTCTTGGGCTTTCAGATGACCGAAAAGGTGAGAACACAAGCATCAATCAAACAATGTTTGGGAAAGCATTGAGTTATGTTTCTTGAAGCCCTCTTCTGAGTCTTCTCAGGCCCATCCTGGGTGTTCATGAGGCCTCGCCCGCGTGATTACAGCCATTTGGGGAAGCATGTTGGGCATCTTGGCGGCCACGGAGTGTGGATTTTGCGACTCCGAGGGCCCTGCCAGTGCGTTGACGAACTCGGGGGGCCTCCTCCACTCCTCTAACAGTATACTGGACCCAGGGGAAGTGGAAAGGGGAGTGGGGACAGCCAGTCATCTCACAGGCATTTTCACCCTTAGCAAGCGTGGTGCTGGCGGATTCTGATTCGTCCGAAGCGCACGAGCAGGTACTCGTGTACGAATATTTTGGGTCATTCTCACGCGCATTCCTCACGATGACTGAGATCACGTTCGGCAATTTCATTGTTCCTGTCAGAGTCTTAGTGGAGCAAGTCAACGAGGCGTTCACTTTGTATGCCGTGATTCACAAGATAATCCTTGGATACTCAATTCTAGGAGTTCTGAATGCGATATTTATCCAGGAGACATTCAGGGCCGCTTCAATGAATGACGGCCTCATGGTAAGGCAACAACAGAAGAGGCAAGAACACCACGAAAGAAAGATGCGCTTACTATTCAACGAGGCCGACGTTGATGGAAGTGGGGCGCTTGACATGGATGAGTGGATGACTGTCTGCCAGGATGACTGGGTGCAGGTATGGCTCGCGTCCCAAGATATAAAAGTCGAAGATGCAAGGAGTCTGTTTGAACTGATGGACGATGGAGATGGGGTGCTCACAGCGGATGAACTAGTAAAGGGGACAGCGATGTTTAAGGGTGCGTCTGCAATGATAAAGGTGATGATGATGGTACATCGCATCGAAGGACGCGTGAAACTCATCGGAGAAGAGCTGCTTGCGGAACGCCGCGAGAAGGACATTCGTGTGTAGGACATCCGAAGCAGGCTGGGGCAGCACCGAGTCGCCGCAGAGCTCTTTTCGCTCTCGACCAAGGAGGAGCGGATGCGTCATAGCATTGTCACCACGTGAGGGGCACTCGTGCGCAGGACATCCGAATTCGGCTGGGGCCGCGCGGAGTCGCCGCAGAGCGCTCTTCGCCCTCGAGCAGGGAGGATAGGACGCGTCATGGCACCGTCGAAAGAGCGACGGCTGCCCGAACTGTTGGTAATGATTCTGCGGCGGGCATGTGTTGCGGATATGGCTTGGCAGTGATGGAGCCCGTCCTCGCCG